GTGAAACAAAACAGAACAAAGAAAGATACATGAAATGTGAAGTCTGAAGCAGGAAAGTAAAAAGAGCAGCAGACGTTGAGGTGGTGTTGTTATTTACCAGCCCTGCTGCATAGTCTGGTACCAACTGGTCGGATGAAAGGCCACTTTCCACCGCCTGGCCTCCATCTTCTTTCTTCACGTTGTTCTTTAAAGCGCAGGGGCTGGTAGCTGCAGAGTGGACGGCTGGCTTTGTGGCTGCTGCCAACAGAGTAAGCACATGCTGATGTCATTATTACTGTCACACCTGACTTACATTCTATGCAAATGTAAGTGCGTATCAAAAGCTAAAGCATCTTAAACTTCTTAAATGTGTTTATTTTTTTAACACTGTTTATGAAGTTGTAAAAACACGCTGATGGATGACTGCTTGTCTTACTGCAGGAAGTGATTGCCTAGCCAGGGAAATGTATTGCTAACATTAACTGAGGCATTTGTATCATAAACAAACAACTATGTCACCCATCCAGCTCCCATCCCAATTCACAACTAAGCATACGTCTTGCACATGAAGCAATATTTGAGAGCCCCATAATACCGGGTGTGCACATTAGACAGTCTCTAGCCGTGTGAATACCTTTGTCCCTCTGCATTCCTGGGTGCTGGCGCTCCGTTGGGCACACAGCAGAATGATAGGCCCAGTCATTGTGTGTGAGGGCCCTGGGGCTGGGGGGGGGCAAGGAGCTGGGCCTCTCACCAGCCTTCTGTACAGAGGCACTGTCCAGGCCGGAGACGGGTCCACAGCCGGGGCCAGGCCGAGTGCCAGAGGGGGAGCAGGGGGCCGAGGTGGCACGCACAGGGGCACAGCGCACACTGGCATCTGCCTCAGGGCGGCCAGGAGAGGGTCCGTCCTGCCCATCCCGGCTCTCATCAGCCCCCTCCTCGTCTACATTACTGTCCGTGTCCATTGCCATTGAAGTGTCAGCCTAGCAGCAGAAGTGCAACATATGATTTTCATTCCGTTGTATTTATAATCTACCAACAAAAACACCATCAAAAAACTAAATAATAACAAGTCAGGCATGACTGATTGTCTCCATTGATTCAATCAAAGACTAATAGCTTTAGGGGATTAGAAAACATTAACCCAGTGAGAGAAAAGACACTCAACAATGAATTCATTATTTTGACAACAACTTAAAAAGCTGGTAAAGCCTGTGCCTGAGCACTAATTGTAGGCTGTGAATGTCACATGAAAACACCATACAGATGTCGCAATGTGACCGCTCTGGTGAATGATTGCCCCTGAAGGCTCTCCGCGGTGCAGTAGTCATTCCGCAGACTGACTGTCCTTCAACCGCAAACGCGTTTCTACGCAATTAAACACTTGGATGTGTAGGTGTCTGGTTGCATACAAGTAGTTTTTAACATACGCACTCATTCCTTTCGTTATGTAGGAGGTGGGGGTTTGTCGACGGCGCCCTGAGTAAGAAAAAAAAATACCTTGTTTGCGACTGCGTGTCCAAGACCCAGCAGTCGAGCACAAGAGCGCACTAAAGCCCGCCCCGCTCCTGAGAAAAGAGCCGCTTGTATGGCGTTCACCCATCGCACTGCATTTCACATAACTTTCACGGAGACACGGTCACAAAAGCACATCATGCCCCCCCCCCCGTATGATCTTAACCCAGCACGATTTTCATCCTGGCTCATATGAAACCAGGCGATATATGCTCAGTGCGTTCCGATCTTTAGAGGCCTACTTGATTGATCATTCTAACACACGGAGTAGATAAAGAGCCGATGGGAGGCGTTATAGGTTTTTCTCAAATTTCCTCCAAAGTGCGCATGGAGTTGCGAGCCGCGGTAAAAACCTCGCCATTGTGTCCGAGGTCTTTAACGGAGCGCTCCCCGGGGGCCGAGCCACGGCAAAGCACACCGGAGGAAGAAAACGAGCTTTAACTCGACGGGCAGCGAGCATCAGCCGCCTCGTTTACCAAGCACTTTGACTTTGCACCGGGTCAACGATTTACAGTAGAGTAAAGGAGTCTGTTATCGGACACGTCACTGTCTACATCTCACCCTCGTATTCAAGTAAATTCTGCATTAAGCCCCGAGTAGCAGCCTGTTTTAAAGTAATCGTACTCGTTTTTGGTAGCGACGCACACGCGTTTTTAGAGAACAAAGTCAATTTGATCTCAGCTTAACCCAAATCGGATCCGCTCTACATCGCTGCTGGACGAACAGTTTGCGGTCGCTTCACGTTAGTTCAGGTCCCAACAGTGTTACCGGCTCCTACATGTATCATTACTTTGCAGTGATGTGGCTCGTCTTAAATATGCTCAGCAACATCGTTTCTAGACACTGAGAAGTGATGCCATTGTGTGCGGGACGAGAGAGGCCATAAAAACATCCAGCACCAAGCATTAGACGTGACCGAGCTGGGCTGCGTGTCCGACAATGGATCTAGGGGTTCGACTTTATGCACTGGCAGCACTGCGTCTGCAATCGTGCATCACTTGATATACAGCCACAATGTGCATACATGAACATATAATAGCTGTATAGTGAGTACTTTGACAATGATAATATTAGACTGTGTTGCTGTTCTACGGGGCAAAACATAGTGATGGTCATATTTTAAAGTCCAGACGGTAGGGGTGATTTCGTCACGGGCAGACATGGCAAGGATATGGCTCTGGTGACATTTGGTGTTTTGCATGGAATGGATGTCCTCGTCAACAACCACACAATGTCCCAGCGTCCCCCATCAGGTTCCTACATCCGCGGTGTTTGAGACTTTTTTCCTTCACCCACTCCCACATACTAAGGTGGTAATAACGAAAAACTGTATTTCCTGCCCAGGCTTCCAAAATAAAAGCCTCACTAGCAAGCACATGATTTGACGCTCTTATTTTGAAGGCGAATGTTTACGACTTCCGGGCTACGTCTGCTACTCTCTCGCTAGCTTGGCAGAGTCCTCCTCCCCTTCGCTCAACGCCGAGTTTGGGGCTCGAAAAGCGCTTTCTGCTGCCGATAATGGTGGCTCGGGTTGTTGCAGACGGGCAGGACGGTGCAACTTTTCTTGTCTACAAATTACACTTCTGACCCGCCCGTTAAAAGTGTTTTCCCGCTTAACAATGCTACACTCTCACTATAAGCGCACCTTCTGTTGTCTTTTTCTCTCGTCTCTACCTAGGCAGCGCTCGAACCGCCGCTCCCCGTCTGCGGCAGTTTTGGGTGCACTTGCAAATCACTCCCCTCACCACTCCCCGTGTAGACACAAACATACGTGTTTTTCTCGCCAAAGCAAACAATATATGTGCCTAGCTTTTTTCCTCCACCTGTTAATTTGATATGACAATGAGATGCGAGCTCTTCCCTCCTCGCATCAACCTCCACGTACCTCCAAATCCTCCTCGTCCTGGTCCACGGGACCGAAAGCGCTGTCCCCGTTGCTCAGGTCAGAATGACTGGCTTCTTCCACCGCGCTCCTTCTCGCAGTCGTGGTTACATCGTCTTTTTTTCTGCTTCTTCGCTGAACCTTGGCGGCGTTCCGGTATGAAATAGAGCCCTTGTAATTAACTTTGAGCACGGTTTGTTCCTGAATCAGTTTCTCCAATTCTGCACAGGTTCGGTCGGGCTCGGACCCGTGTCGTCTCCGGACCATTCGGCAAATCCTCTCCAAGTCCGGCCGGGCTTTTCGCGACCGCAGCGAGTCGATAGTGTCCAGGATCCACTTGCGGTACTCGGCTTCAGACATCTTTTTTGTGCTCGGTTGGTTCGCTTGCTTCTTGCTTTTTTTCTTACCTTAGTGCGTCAACCTTGTACGTTACACACGGTGTTTTTCGTGAGCCGCGGTCCGAGCCCAACTGAGAAGCGGAAACCTTGCTGTACGCCTCCTGCGTTTGCGTGTGCGCTTAAGGTGGACCGACGGAGTTGCAGGGAAAAGTTTCACTCTTGAGGGGCTTTAAGGTGGAATAGCTGTCCTGGACGAGGACGAGCGCGCGTACCCGGATCCATGTGCGCCATAAAGGGTGCAAAAGGTGGCCATTTATTTCAAGAGTTAGAAAGTGTGGTAACGCCTTTGAAGTAGTGAATGAAGGTGGGGCACATGTGGTCCATCTTTTTCACGTAGAGCTTCGCAAGATCGGGTTAAAGAGTCAGAGGCGTGTGCGCTGGTGTTTTGGGCTCCATGTGTTGCCCTACTCTAGATCAAGCTGTGGAGGTAGACAATAAAATATGTTCATAAAAGCCAACACCTTAATTAATCAGTATATATCGGTGTATATATATATATATATATATAAATAATGCATTTTTCTTATGAAATACAATAAGTGATTGATTACAAAATTACAAATATTTTAGATTTTTTGATTGAAACGGATTTTTTTACAGTAAAAAAAAGGTTATTCGAAACACTGAACTGGAACCTGCTGTTCTTTGTATACATTAACATTTAATACATGACATCTGTATTCATAGCCGTTTTAAGACTAGCTTATGATTTACCTTAGTCATTTTTATAAACACGTAGGTCTCTATGGTCAATAATTGGATAATGCATATCCAATATATGTATCTTATTATACTCTCAAATAATCACTTTTCATTATTGTTTGTTGTCAACAATAATGAAGTGGCTTTAATATTTTCAAATTCTTGCTCTTTAACATTATCTCAAATGTCCTATTTGTGAATCCTGAATAGGAGAACCCTGAAGGTGGGAATACATTTTGAGTGTTGCTGAAAGCTGGTAATTGATCCCATAATGTGACAGGATGAACACAACTACATTATTCAATTGCAGCTGCCAGCCTCCCAACACATTGACCATGAAAGACAATACAGTTGTCCCACCCCACCTACCAATAAGTATGTTCTTCTGATCCGGTGAGCAGCCTGAAGCTGCGAGTACCTTCCTTGACATAATGGATGTCAAAAAATACAACTTTAAATGTGATAATCCTAAATCAGTGTGACATTGTGTATGGTGAAGAGAGCTTACATATAACCCAGACATATTAGTCTTAACAAGTAAAAGTTTATTGGAATGATACATTTTGCAAAATATTACTTTATGTATATTTTTTTTAACATACTCATTGTGTTCTAAGGGTATCTGTCAAGTTCTCCAGAGGGTAAGATAGTTAAGACTGTCGAAGGCAAGGATATACAGTATTGTTTCCCAAAAGGTACAATAGACTACACAATCACTGTACCCAGGTCATGAGGAAAAGATTAATGTTCTGTTTTTGCTTTTTTGCTTCTTTTTTTTGAAAATACAATTAGAAAATATGAACGCAAAACATCTCAGATGTAAAAAGTGTTATGTTTGAATGAAGAGTGTGGAAACTTGATGAAATTAGAAGGCAAACACAGGAGAAAAAACCTAAAATTAGCACAGAGCAGTTGATAGTGTTCAGCTGATAAAAGATCATTAAAGACAATCCACAAGAAGTTTGGTATGGGGAACAAAAAGTATGCATTGTGATGGCCTCAGTGTCTGAAGTGGATCGAATGGCTTTGCCTTCCACCCACCAACTCTGATTTAGTCATTTGTCAGAACATAAAGATATTACATCTGCTCTCTTCAAAGCATTAAATAGTGTCTTAAAAGTTTCAAATAATTAGCTCAAATCAATTAAATAGGAGATTTGAAAGGATGTGGCATGTGCTTCAGTATTTGCAAAGGACTGGACAAGTTGGTTGGTGATCCACTGCATTGTTCAATGTGACGCTCAAAGAAATGGGTAAACAGTGATGAGACTGTCGGCAGTGGAAACAATGATACTCAAACACGTTCCAGGTCCAGGAGATGTCTTGTCGTTGGGTTGCTTTACCACATGCAAGAAAAACCAAGCTGACTGGAGAAACATGTATTATAAAAAATACACATCATGTTTCCAAACAGTGTTGAACCATCTCCATCAAGACATTCAAAAAAATATATCCTGTGTTTGATCTCAATTACATTAAGAGACAGCCAAAAATAATAACTCAAGCCTACTGAAATAATTTAGAGTTGAAAAACATTCTCAAAAATGTCATGTTACAAGACCTTATGACAAATTGATGCACATCTAACAATTCACAGAAGCTTTTCAGTGAGATGGACAAAGTCTAGCACCTAGGGCCTATGGAGAGGGAGGAGGGCGAAAGCAAACATCCTTCATCAAAACCAAGTGTTCAGTCAACAAACCAGCAATTAGATTTGGTCTGCGATTGTCTTGCATCCACAGAAATAAACTTGGCAAAAGGGGACAGCTTTAGGAGAGCTTCCTTAGTTTAATTTGTTACATAGAAAGCTGGAAAACTGAAACAAAACACTCCAATCTCATCAGTCCCAAAATGTTTGGTTGGACTGCAAATCTATCTGAAGGTGTTACATGTAGGGTATATACAAGATAAAAGGGAGGAAGGAAAAATCATAATTATCAAGGTGAGAAGCCTAGAAGAACTTTCTGACACATTGGACTTGGTCTTGTTCCATCTTTAAAATCAAGCTGCTGAGAGTCCATTTAATAGTTAAGCATGTTATCCATGAGCTCGTGTACGTCAGCACAAAACCATAATGCGATCTCTCTTTAAAAGTGATATTGTACAAAAATAACATGCACATTTTGTTGAAACGTTTTGCTACTTTTTTTGCGTATTAAAATCCACCACCGTCGTAGTTACATACAGAAAACTTTGCAATGTTCTCAGTTTGCAAATTTGGCAGAATTTATATTTGTTTATTTATGAAATCTTAATTTCAGTTTCACAGCTATGAGACAATGTTGAAAAAGATGGATAGTTCATGTACTCTATTATATATATATATATATATCATACATATATATCATATATATTATATATATATATCATAAATCATCATAAATGTACTATGAATTAAATAAACAATAGTCAGGAGTGTGACCACAATGTTAGTTGCTGCTAAATCACAGCTTTTTAACCCACCCTTGAGCACTAAATAACACACAAGCACAGAGATTGACAGAAGGACAAATGATCACCAATAGGATTCTTAAAATGCTCTAATAAATTCAGCTAAGAGAAAGACAGACTTAAATGCAAACCTCATGTTTACCATTTCTCACAGGTCCCCACAAGGAGTAAGACCTAGATGAAGTTTACTGTGATAAATCATTCTCACTCCGATCAAAGAGGTCACCGCTGCTTCAACTGCGAGCAGTGAGGGCATCATCCTCCCAATAATCATGCCATATTTAGCAGACAAAGGCAGGTGCAGAGAGTTTTCAAGCTTTAAACCAAACGGGCACAAGGGCTGATGCCACCGTAGCCAAAGCTCTGCACCAGTGCTTTCGACAAAGTTTTCCAACCAGTTGGCATTATGATAGGCACATCTGTTGGACTTGGTATTGCTTGGACAGATTCAGGATGGAGGGATGGAGGGGGGGGGGACCAGGGTGACAAGATACAACAATTACTCTTTGAGAAGCTTGTAGAGAGGGTCCATTTGAAAAAAAAAAGAAAAAAAAAAGAGCCTAGCAGATTCAGTACCTAAAAGAAAATCAATGCCTCAACCTGCAAAGACTGAAAACATGTCATTACACCGTCAGAAAGATACACGTACAGCTGGACAGCCACTACCTATGCCTGTTCTCTTCCAGCCCGTCACAAACACAAGAGGGATAAATAAAATCAATAGGTAACAGTTGAGAAACAATCAGAAAAGGCAACACTGCTGGTTCTGTTGGATCTTTCTTCACTTTGCCTACCTTTCCATTGGGGAAGGGGGGGTTTTACATTGTTGTCGTCATTACAAATAAGCAAGTTAGCAGTCCACCCTAGCGCTTCTTTCCTTCAGACCCCCTTTTACTTTCTAAATCTCTCTCTCTCTCGCTCTCTCTCTGCTTCTCATGGATGGAATCTAGAACTCAGCAAACTCCTTTGCACACTTCTCTGTGAAGGAGACTCTGATTTCCTCTTCCTCGTAGTCGTCAAAGTTGCTCGTGTCACCGGGGCCTTTGCACTTAGGAATAAAGGGAGCTTCCACCTGAAACAAAAGGACAATGAAATAATCAGAATGATGCAGAATTGACAAATAGAGAGAACCAGAGCCATGGCAGAGAGTGCTATATACAAGCAATCTGGGGAGGCTGCTTTGTGTCTTTATTGGATCTTAGAGCAGCAAACTCCATTGGATTTTTTCGAAGTATATTAAAGACCTATCTTTTTAATGTGGCTATTCATTTAGGGTACTTCTAGTGGTATCACTGTTTATGTTTTATTATTTTATGGTTCTGTGATAGAACTAGAAAGTTTGTTTACAACTTGTTTTTAAATTATGTTACTCTCAAATCTTTACTTTCTATCTTGTCTTACTCTGTAAAGCACTTTGGGCTGCACCTTGCATGAAAAGGTGTATTATTATTATTATTATATAGAACTGGATGACATAGGTTCCAGTATATTGAGACATTTAAAAATAGATTAATATTCATGTACATACATAGTAACTTTAACGAATACAAATAAGAATAATTCCTTCCAATGATAATGTTACTAAAGTGCTTTACATACAATAAAACCCAAAAGTAGCAACGATAAAAAAAAAAAAATATTCAGGTAAACAATATACAACCAAACAAACCGGGATACAGAAGAGATCAAAACTTTCAGTCAATCCCATAAAATGAACTCATAAAAATAGTAGCAAATGCAGGAAAAATACAAATACTAATCTTAAATTAGAGTAAAGTGCATTGTGCATTTCATTGAATACTTGAGGAATAGCAGGACAGCCTGTTTGATCCTGTGTTGTCACTTACTTTTCTGAAGCCAACTCAATTAGTTGCGGTTATCTTCCCAGACAAAAATAATTAAATGTTTTACAGTAAATCCCATTCTCAAAGTGTGTATTGTTATGTGTAAGTAATGTATTCATAATTAATGTATGTATGTATGTTTGTTTATAGTCTGTACTAGTACACAATTCTAACCTTTGTTTGCCCACTGTTGGTTCTCATTACATGCCTGACTGCACTGGAGGGGGTCCCTCTGTGTTTACGCTAGCTTCCTGATGAGTCCCAGGCTAAGAAGGGCTCACTTCATCCTGTTCTTTATTCACTAAGTGACCCTTGTGAAATCATCCGACAAACGCGATGGACCCTTTTTATATGAACAAACCTACGTTTATGTGGACCAAATCATCTGGTTCTGTGTGTTTACTGATTTGAAAGTCAAATGGTTAAAGACTTGGTTCCACTTCTGGTATGTCGTGGAAATGCTGTGGTAATCCTATACATTTGGAAGTTTAAAGTAAAGAAACTACTAGTACACATGCTTTGGGTGTTTTAGACATTTTCCCACTAGCAAAGAATGGATGGTGTTAAATGTCCAGTAGCTACAGACTTAGGTCACCTCTGACCGAATACCCCTTAAAGCAATCGTTCCTTGTTACTTTGGGAGGTGGGCTGTATTTGTACACAGTACTGCTGTATAATGGCTGGCCTTCTCACCTTCCTCTGGTAGATGGCGATCCAATCGGTGGTGGCAAACCACTTGTGGCCCTTGATATCGTTGACTCCATTCCTGAGGTTGCCAAAGCGCTTGGTAAGGTCCACCTGCAGCAAATTTCTCAACAGATCCTTCAGGTCTGAGCTGAAGTGGGAGGGAAAGCGAACCTGAAAGCAGAGAAGAGAACAGTGTGAAGGTGTGCTACGTTTTATAATACATGCTATAGGACACGGGTGTCCAAACATTTTTCACTGTGGGCCACATAAATAACAATATTTGAAGGAATGGGCTACTCAGCTAGGTTAGGTTTATTGCCTCATAGATTAGGTTAGGTTATACATTAGCAAAATCAATGAAATGTACCGGTAAGTCAATTATGCTTGATACTTGAATATGCTTTAAGAAAGGAAATTGCCTACATCACAGCTTTCCAGAGAGTTTAATTTATTTTGTTACAAAAAGTGTTTGCAGCTCATCTATTAAAACAGAAGCCTCATATTGCTTTTAATAAGTGGAAATATGAAAAGGTATATTTAAAGTTTGTTAATCAAATACTTCAAGTAAGATTAGTTTGGAAAGGTTTTCAATTTTATTTGACTGATTTCATTTGAAAAGTGGGCTTATTAACACATGAATACCGTGTTGTGTTCTTTAAGAAGTACACAATATAAGACAAGCACACGTTTCAGGTGTGGGCCATACTCCATTATACTTTTTGAATTTGCTGAGGGCCAATTCAAAATGGACAATGACTGTCAGGGTGTGTATGTAGTGTAACCAATACTAAAACTGTGACAAATTGCTGTTGAACATGTGCTGTGAGGTCATCAGGACATTTGATATACGTTGTTCCCCACAGAAAAACAACCAGGTGATTTGTAATATAAACTAACATTTATCAGAAACATTATGCTTTCATGTTGTGTATCCTTACAATGTCTTTACAATTTAGCTGCAAATGTTTAACACAATCACCACGATCCTCTTCATATAAGTAAAGATTGATGCACTGTGAATATACCATCACTGAAAAATGGTTTGCACAGCTGGGGAAAACCGCACAGGTAATGAATCATGGACCTTTGGTTTTAAACCCCCACCTCTGTTGAAAAGGAGTGTAGAAAAAAGTACTTAAAACAATAAAAACTAGATTATTGCGGTTGGCTTCTCTCAACTCACCTTCCCAGATACAATCTTCTCATAAATCTGAATAGGCTGGTCAGCAAAGAAGGGGGGGTAACCGGCAGCCATCTCATATATCAGCACTCCCAGAGCCCACCAGTCCACGGCTTTATTGTAACCCTGGAAAACACACAGGACATAAAGGGTGTTCAGACGTGTCCTCAAACATAAACTCCCACATATTAAAAAAGGTCCCCTATTACAGTGTTTTTCATCAACATATTATAGGTCTCAGATATATACAAAACATGTCTCTGAAGTGTTTGGCTCAAAATACCTAGCATCCCACCACAATCCCCTCTGTTTCAGCCCTGTTTCAGAAGTGCTGATTCTGGGTCTGTTACTTTAGATGAAAATAAGGAGCCACTCCCCACGCCTCTCTGACAGATATTTGGTTAAAAAGAACACGGGG